AAGTAAACCTCTGAGCTCTTGAGGTGACCAAGAATTATGGATGTGAAAATAATACGAACTTTTCGAAAATATTGAGAACAAGGGTAGTTGTTACGGAGTTCCGGTTTCAAAATGTTTCATGAACTTTCGCAGTCGTAGAAGAAAGTTATTTGCGCGTACTGACCAGGGTTGTTCGGTTGGTAGAACGTCAGACTCGGAACCAAGAGTCCTGAGTTCGTGCCCGAGCCGGGTCGTCACCTTTCTTCGTTTCGAGATCGGTAAATGAGTACTACTCCGTGGCAGAGAAACAGATTACTACACGCTGTGCTTGCCGCGTTGCTGCTGTCGACTATGTCCTTAACACGCGGCCTCCTGAAAATGTCCTAACTACGGAACAAACAGCTACAAACTAACGGCTACAGACTTTCTTTCCTTTCTAACTGCATAGGTACGCCTTTGATTCAGCTATCGACAGAGAAATGTTTCTAATTTGCCGTACAAAAGAATAGATTTAGTTCAAAATTGTGACAGCACAGCCATTCTTTTAAATAAATCGCGATAATGCTGTGGGCGGTTGCGGTTACTTCTGTTCCGAGGTGTCCGACGTTAGCTTAACGATTATGTAACTTTCGCTTTTGCATAAACAGTGAATCTTATTCTTAATATTTTATTCATATAATTTTTTGTTTAGGCATACCACTATCCCGTCAGGACAAATCAGATTCCGAGACAAGTTCCTGAGCAGCCTCTTTATTTAAATCCGGCTCTCATGTACCCATTGCATGTTCTGTTTCGCTGACTGAAATATGGTTTCTTTTCAGCACGCTGTTCACCGGTATTCTACCGTTCGCCGCCATGTTCTTGGAACTCTTCTTTATTTTTACCGTACATTGTTTGTATTTCTTATTTACCCGTTCGTTTGCCTGTGTCTGGTTTTAGGCAATTTGGCAGAACCAGTCTTATTACCTGTTCGGCTTTCTGTTCTTGACGTTCTGTGTTCTGGCGGCTTTGTCGGCGATGGTTACGATTTTGGTCACTTATCTGCAATTTTGCAAGGAGGTGAGCAATT